TTTGTGAACTCTTAAGTGTTAATCTTATTAAGATGAAGACGTATCACTTAACAACAACAATCGATATCAGGCTGATTCGAAGCTTTGATTGAAATGTCTCAATGGCCAGCGTTTACGTTGATAGGGATAAATATGTTATTTCAAAAATAATTTAAATTTCATACATAATTTATATGTCACATTATGCATGTCTTTTATTGTAGTTGGTATGTTTTACAATGTAGAAAGACAATTTCAGCATGCAGAAGATAGATATTTACCAGGCTTAATGAACTATAAACAAGTATGTTGTCAAACAGACGAAATGAAGTTAACCAAACAGGACACGAAAGTGGTGCTATATGCTAGAAATAGCGAACTAGTCCCAGTTTTGTCAATCTCGATCAGTTGACGTCGCATTGATGTAAAACTTGAATCAAACTATATTTCAACCTAAATACAGAAAATGTATGTCTTGACATTCATAATGAAGATCTCCAGTACACTACACAGATAAACTCGTATATCTTCTTAGACTTTTCAAAACATTGCATTTTAACAAGTCACAAAAATACAGCCAGCTATGATGTCGTATCTTCTCCGTCGTGATGCGACAGGATGAAAACGTTTTCCCCGAAACAACCATTTTTTGACAAAACTGCAGTGAATTCTTAATACAATTAGAAAAATGTTTGATTAGAATTTTGTATTCGTATTCAGTATAACGACGTAATGTTTTCTACATATTGGACATCAGGTGACGGCGATGGCCACTAGCAATATGGGGATAAATGATAGTGTCACATGCTGAAAGATGAATATCAGGATTAAAAGACCGATGCGTGGTTTAAGTTAAAGGGTTTTTGTATTACGTTAACAAAGATAAAGAAGACGTAAAGAGAACCGACGAGAAATACCAGCAAAGGTCGCCATTTTTTATTGTTCAGAGTTCAACGAAAGTCCTCAGGACAGCTAACTACAAACAAATAGAATTAGTGGCAGAAACGTAAAGAAGTTCCTGTGCTATGAAGCGTACATTGAGGACATATCGTCATTTGTGTTTTCTTTAACATTCCCTAAGCATCATTTTATGTTTGAACCCAACTGTAGTCGTCTTTAACGAAACACTGTGAAGCATTAAGAGTGACACACTCTAAGCCTTGTCACCGGCGAAGGGGATATGGGTGGGAGTAGGGTGGTGAAAAGGCGATGTTGTTAATTTTGTAAAGCTTTATCAGAAATATGTACAAGGCATTTCATTTCTTTATAACCAAACGTGCAGTCTACTTTGGTGATCATCATGTCAATCAGTTATACATATTTTCGTGTTGTTTTCATTTTAGCGTTAAGGCATTCGAAGTATTGCGCTTAATTGTGCTTGTGTTATTTCCAATTTCCGTGTATATTTCTATTTATTATTTATCATTTTATTTAATATATTCTGGTTGCACCGATTCATCAATGCGCTAACATGATAAAATCTAACAGCGCTGATCTGTGTGTGCCTGACGGCATTGTAATTGACTAAACATTCAAACAACTTTTTCAGAGACCATATTCGGAATGTCAATGGCGTTTGCTGAAAGACCACACACATTTACGCAAGTAATTTTTACTTGTTGTTGATCAAATGCGTTCGTATACTCCGTAGCTCACACGTAGTAAAATACACTATCGTCACGTAACCTTAGATCTTTGGAGGACGTTAAGACCAAACAAACAAAACCGTAAAAGATACTCGCTACCATCCATATACATCTTAACGTTCTCCGTTTTATGCTCAGTGTCAAAGGCAAGAACGGCAGTCTGCCCACGCGATTAATTACCGATTGGTGACCGATTGACATGTCTTGTCTCTTAACCAGGACATGAAGTCGGATCACGCTACCAGAAGTTATCATCAGCGTATCTATGGTAAAGGAAGGTTACTAGAAAGGACGCCCCAAAACACCACTTTGGATATTCAGAGCAGGTATAGTATGAAATCTGGTATGTTCCGAACTGAACACTGAAAAGGGGAACGGTGTTCATTTGAATATTTCACATCATGTTTAGACGTCTATTTCCAGATGCTGCAAAAGGTCCAGACCTCACGACCGACCACGACTGGCGTTTGACTGGGTCCAGTAAAACTCATTAAATCGTTGTTAAAAATATGCGGATTTACACTTCGTGGAGTTATACTAATGCTTGCATTGTTTCCCGATTATAAGAACGTAACAGTTCTTTTGCACTGTTTACTTCCAACAAAATAGAAATGTTGGTACAATACAATCAATCATTTGATCTACGTCAATTTGGCCTCCTGCCAATATGTCCTGTCATAAAAATGGTACAATATATACACATTAAGTGGCTGATCTAAAAGTAAAATGAAAATATCAGGGTTTCCAATATCATGTTATAACACATTATGTCCTGATAAAAATGTGCTTGTTCATAATTTCATAGCTCAATGTGTTTAATAACTTTCTATTAATTGGTCTTGATGCATGCAGACAGGACTATCAGTATAAAGTGCAATACAAAAAAAACATCAGTAAGCTATTATGTGTTTTTTATATCTTAGAATCGTTCTTAGAAGTATGTCATACCTTTTTAGAGCAACATTTCAGATGAATATATATCGAATAGTTTCGCTAACTTCTGTAGCAAGTGCACGTAACTACAATACTATACTCCATAAAACTGCAGAGGAACTATAATATATGATGTATTAGGTAACATAGTTATATTTAGTTTACCAAACTCTCACTATAAATGAAAACGCTTAACGGCTGACTGATCAGCATCTATTGTTATCGTCCCAATAAACGGCTCCATGTTTGTTGACAGTCAAGACGTGACCCATATATTACCTCTTATTTTTTCAACAGTTCTAGGAAAGGAAGTTCTTGTTACACTCTGAAAAAGTAACCATCGATGTTAAAAATAATTTGTGAAACCGATGATTGTTGTACATTCTTGTTTCAGTAACAATGTCATTTGAAATTATTAGGATGTTTACTTTCAGGAATATCGTTTATGGTTCCGACAAACGTTACCTATTTATTGTCAGGTTTAAAGGATGCATTAGACCATTGGGTAAAATATTTTAACATAGTATCATACATTTGCAAGGCGTGTGATTCATTTTTGCTACAATTTTCACGGTTACATTGTACAAATACCCTATACTTCAGGAATCAAAAACCTTGTTTAGATTGTGTTTACTATGGTGTCAAACTCATATTTATCAAAGGTTCCAGCTAACAAATGTTTAATGACAAAAAACCCTACAGAAAAATGTCTTTTCGAGTTTTTATTTTTTCAAACTTCAAATTCCTGAATTTACTTTGACAGCAGCATTTGTTTTTGTTGTTGTTGTTGTTTACTTTCATACTTTTTAAGTATGTGGATTTTCAATTGATGTGGATTGATATGTGTTTTTTATTATTAGCCCAATGGATCTATAATATTGATATTAATATTATATCACAATGAAAGTCAAAAAAGATAGTTGGACCTTGTTGAGCCAACATCCCTAACACTGCCTCAACGGGTGATGCTGTTTTTTTTCTATATTTACTATCTTTCCCGATAAAAATAACGCTAAACATTAGTCAATAATTTATTCCCACAGTGGACATTTACAATAAAGTCAACCCTAATGACTTTAAAAAATATCAATCATGGTAATATGTCGCTCTTTAATGTCTGTCAAAATTAATCCCTCTGACAGGCTCAATGCGTCCTATTATGTGTGGTATCTTTTCCTTTCAGTTAAAATCCCGTCCAATTGACCCTTTGAGACTACCATTGAATATTCTCAGGTTTGCATTTGAAAGACGATGCCAGCTTTCCAAAAGCATATCTGAAGTTAATTTCAACTGCAATATATTTAATGTCAGTTTCAGATTAAATATATATTAACCGTGTCGTCTTTTGTTAGTGACTAACCAGGTATTGAGGATCGGACTAGAGACAGCTGTGACAAGCAATGCATGTTTTTCTTTCTTTTTAGCAGCATATGGTGTGCCTATTTATTTATGTTCATCGCTTTGTATCTGGCTTTTGATGAGTCCTCGTTTACTATGTCTTTTTCTTCTTAAATTTTTATTGTGTTTCTGTGAGTTATTACTATATTAGGTCTATATTCAAATTACAAAACCATGAAGCTCCATTCTATGTTTATGTATTAATAACATTGAAGAACACCGTCCAAGAATATCTTCGCTCAATTGATACAGACAAATCTCGGTATAGTGCAATGCTATTTATGGTATAAAATAATCGAATATATCGCCCTTTCATATATCAATTAGGAATAGTTCCTTTCGACGTTCTGTGTAAAACCATAATTTGGTATACATGAAAATGTTACTTATATACAGTGTCATCAGGTATTTGCATTTGGTTTTATGTTAGTTGAAACGAGTTTGTAATATATGTAATTTGCTTTCAACAAATTTCTAATTCAACGATCTCATTAAAAGAGTTGAAATGTGTACAAATCCTGGTATAAACAATGCGCGTTGCACAAGAAAATTATGCTTTCATCATCAATCAGCCACTTCCATTAAGATGCGTATCAGCTTTTATACCAAAACCCGTACATAACTTAACAATGTCAATGCATTCACGGGTCTAGCTAATACAGATCAAGTGTAACAAAAGATACGTCGATATTTCTGCACCGTCTAGTTGTTGAGATCACCGAAAAGCTTTTCTGTGTAAAATCCGTAAATATTAGCTCGAAATAATGGCTATATACATTAGGGATATCACTGATAACATGCCAAAATGCAAGAGCATTTATTGATAAAAAAAAATACCGGTTTTTCAAAGATATCTATAAAACCTTTCCGGTAGGTGGATACTCAATTAGGAACAAACAACACCGGCGACACGAAACACGTATGCACGTAACATGCCGATATTTAAAAAATACATTATAACACTGTTAGACTATATTATGATTTTTTTAGAGGGGAAATATTTACATAAACTCGAACAGTTGTTTGTGATTATAAACGACTTACCGTATTGGAGATATTCCTGATGATAGGTAAAATCCCTTTAACAGTTACACCAACAGGTGGCGAATGTAGATAAGATGTTCATACACATCGGCAATGTTAAGTTCTGTGTGGGTGGTAGTAGGTATAATTTACTGTCACACATTTACATCCACAGATAAACTCTGTAAGATATATTAACATTTACTTTTGTCATTTCCGCATATATGTTGAAGTTCCTGTTGACCTAACAAGCACGCACACATACTTGAATGAGTCTTTTACATTGCTCCAATGTTCAATGCACATCCCAGTATGAATGAGTTTGCAAATTGATTGAACCCCACAATGGTAAATATTTCTCCACTCTCTGACTTCAAACGTTCTGTTACTTGTAAAGAGTCCTGTGCGTCAAACCCTTATAATAACCACCCAGCGCTGATTTGTAATTAATGTAACGGCACGCTTGCTGACTGTTTCGAAGATTACCAGAACAGAAAACTTATACTACATTGTATATACAGTGTACTCACTGCGAGCATTATACTTTGTTATTTTATGGCGACCCTGGTCCGGTAGAGAATTAACAAACATACTCAGACAAGTATCGACAGACACTGGCTAAACTCAACGTCGCGATACGACGTGAATTTATATCAGTAACCATTACACTTAATGAAACTTCGGTATAAATTGTCCTTTCAGAGTTACTTAGGGTATACAAATTGCTATATTAGGAAGGAGCATTAACAGATAAAGTCCCCACAACGTAACGTCTCCTCTGTTCAGTCACACCGATGCTCGCACGACGAGTTTCAATAGGCAATCTGAAAGTAGGAGCTTGACCACATCGACCAAGTGGATGCGGAGCGCTGCACGCAATACGATTCACGAGGCTTCACAGTTTCTAACTACCGAAACGCTTCCAGTGTATAAACATCATTCTGTACATTTCAGGGCGAGCTACCTGTTCTCAGTTAATGGTCTATTTCCGTCATTTCCCTTTTCCTTTTAGACTAAACAGGTGTTGACTATATAGTACTAGTGGTTCGTTGTTAGACAATTTCTATTTCAAATACATTTCCTTACAATACCAAAATGTAATGTTCGTCCATACTATTTCCTGTGTTGTTATGCATTGCATACGACTATTTAATCTCAATAGCATCACGTATTATGTAGTGTTTATTTTGTTATCATTTTGTTTACTGTTTCCTTACAGATCTTGCAGTATATATTTGTCTTGCTGATCATACGCTATCATCAGATTATGAGTCAATAAAAACATGTTGTACATAGAAATCTCTTTCAGGATATGTTTAAAATACTTCAAAACGTCGAGAAACCTTAAACAGCTTTCATATACCAAATAATTCAAATTGATTATTATGATTTTACAAGCAAAGAATTACACAATAACTGTTTACATACTAAAAAAACCCAGATACCAATAATAGTTTTAAGTTTGCATCGCAAATTCATATCCAAACCGAACGTATCAGTACCTTGAACACGTAAAAATGAATTGACAAATAAATTCATGAAAATCGATTATTTTAAGCTAAACGCATCGCTTTTTATATTGTTTTTCACGCTAAATTAAAAATAAACACAGATCGTGGCAAACGAAATTCTCATTTTGAGCGATTTTGCGACTTGACAAGCATCTACGATCCCGAACAATATATTGCTGGTTCACAAAAGCCACTCCTATTGAAATCAGTGCTGGCGATTTCGGCACATCACGTTATTGATTGCGTTTAGAAAACAAGGTTTCCTGCAGCTTTCCATGGGCCACACTTGAGTTCTAAATTGATCAATGATACAAACACTATAAAAAAAGTATTAATCACAAAAAAACGGTCAGGGATACACTCTACCTGAATAGATATTTAGGACGGGTTTGACGTTTATCTGCTCATTGCAGAAACATTTACATATCATTCATAACAGTTTCATGAATTAAACAATAACTTTACCATTGCTTTGACTATTATATTTGAGACATCTTTCATATGTTTTTGCATTCACATTTCATTTTTGCTATACTAAATTTATAAAACTATTTCGCTTACTACTATTTTCGCAGTCTCTTTGAAATGTATGACTTGAGAAGATGGAAGCGTTGATACAGTATACTTTAATGGATATTTCACTTTAGTTGTTCAATTGCAACCATGAGAACCGCGAAATTTATGACACAGCGAACATTTCATGTTATGCAGTTAAACTTATCATCGCCGATATTGACATGCTGACCAATTTCGGACACCCATTGGGGAAACAGCCCTTAAACACTGACCACACATACACAAAAGACATACAGGATGAAAGTTCACACACCGGTCAGTTACCCCCAGAGAATGGAAAACGGTCGATGCATATTCGTTGGTCTGTATGATGGTCCCAAGGACTCTTACTGAAAACATAGTAAACCGTATACTGTACACTGTATCAAAAGGATGAAGTGTCTTGGTGGATTTTCGAACAGTAAACAAAAATAATTAAATACTACTGATAGACCGAAGTGATCTTTCTTATTTTTCTTTTTATTATTTTACATATGCAACAGTACAACAGACACACACAAATATTGATTTTGATAGTTGGACTTATATCTTATACCCGGTATCGAATCCACCCTGTCGTACAAACAGATAAATTAAATAAATTCAGTCAGGCTCGTTATGCCTGCGAAACACCAATATCATCAATTGCGCACTGGATAAATAATCCATAATGAAGAGTAATTACTGTAGATAATTCCATGTTATTGAAAGAGAAATGTATTTTATAAGAAAATCATGGAGAGATCAAATATCTATTAAATCTAAGACGTGAACAATTGACCTGGCTGTAAATGTCAGTGTTTTGATGTGATAAAAGTACATCATAACATATCAGTAAATTGCATTAATAACACTTTCGAACCTGACTATCTCTGATATTGCCTAAAACTGAAATCGAAAAGGTTACCTGTCGGGCACGTATCAGACACATAGCGAACTACTTTACTTCATTTACACAACCGCTTTTTCAAGTCTATTCACTTGTTTTACAATCAGGCATCATTAAGCCGAATGACATTCAGTAGGTTTCCAATGCAATTCCCCGTCGAAACAACAACTATTACTGTTACAGTTTTACAAATGATTATTACAAATAAAAGAGAAAAGAAAATCCATAAAGTGAAATATGCCTTGGAGGTGTAAGTGCTTATTCAATTATTAGTCATTATCTTTGCAATTTTTAGTGGGCTGCGCTTGCTCATTCGCCTTGATGTATAGATGAACAGTTTGGTTCTCTACACCTTGTACATTTAAACTAATGATGCACACAGGCGATATAGAATACAATTTGTTCTGAAAAAGATCGTCTACATTGTTTTATCGAGAAATAGTCTGTTTCCTTGTGTGATGTGAAAGTCTTTGTTTTTGAGCATGCTCATTAGTCTGGCTTGTTGTGTCGTTTCCACCACCCCGGTTATCACTATTAAGATATTTCATTACTTGCGTTTGACCTAGATTTAAATTGCATGTGCAACCCTGCAGGTCGGGAATCGGGGACGTTACCCACTGCATGTATCGTAAGTCCCGACGGATGCAAAGTTTGGGTTTTGCTCCGTTAAGTTTATTATTCTTGTTTTTAACCCGTAACACCCTTTGCATGCTTTGTTTTCAAAAAATCATGGAAAATATTAATTACTGACCTGTTACAGAAGTCAGAAAAAGTAGATTTAAAAGAAAGCAATATGAAAACGGGAACGGGAAAATGTCCATTCATTTGTAAGTAGTTGTTTGACGTTGCAGTTACATTTATCCAGTAAAAACCGCACCGTGATTTGTTTAAGATTGAAAAAAGAGATTTACTCCATAGCGAGAGCCAATCTTTTTACACGTAGCCCCGATTAAGATACAAAACGGAACCCGGTAATATCTGTACCAAATCCGTACGGTCATGTCAACGTTCGTATGACACATTATGAACAGGTCCTACCGGACGCTTGATGAAAAGCAGTTTTACATATGTATAAATTTGTAACAGATATTGACGCTACCTTTACGTTCAAGTTTCACGTTGTTTTAAGTGAAACAAACATAATTTCAATTTTATGTACCCTATCTTTATGCACTTTCGGTAGTATAAATTTGCAAAACATTTCAAACTTTAAATATTGTAAAATACAGATATTTATCTTAGAAACACGTTTAAAATTGACATTAAGTACAACTTTTGTATCTCCAAACCAGTTTTGAAGATACCATGTGCTAAAAACATTCAACATGGATATATGATTGCCTTAACAATGCAGATAAAGGCGCTTCTATCGCTGCCTACACTTTCTATTTTTGATCTATGACATTTACAATCCCGATGTCTAACGGTCAGTGTGACAGGCGATGAATCAATTTCCTTCATGATTGTCATATAAAACATTGAAGGTGAAGGACATTGTTCAGAGACCTAATCAAGTCCTCAAGTGCCCCATGTTGTCTGGCACAATAACCACTCACTCATTCACCAAAATACATATGGCAATGTTTTAACGTATGAAGTAGCCTCGCTGCACGTGACCGTCCACTGAAATAGTAATGAAGTCCAATAGCGGCCATGGTAAGCCCAAATGACAATTTACTACATTTTGTCTTTGAAGGCTAATAACGGTTTTGTGCAAAAGCTTCGGTGTAATCAATGCCCTTGTGGTATATCGTTGCCTCCTCCTTTTACTTCTATTCTTTCCCCTTCTCCTCGTCTTTCCTTCTTTTTGCTCCTCTTTCTTCTGCTGCTACTTCCATTCCTCCCCTTTTGCTCTCTCTCCTGTTTTCTCTCCTTCTCTCACATGTTTGTTTGCTATTCCTCTCGTCATTTGCTCTACTGTTGCTCCTCCTCGTTCTGGTAATCCTCACCCTTTAGTTGTATTGTTCATTGTTCTCCTCCTCCCAACTCATTTAGATTGGTTGTTCTTCTTTTTCTCTTCCTCCGCCCTCCTCCTCCCTTCCATTTCCTGCGTTGCCTGCTCGATTGCTCTTATCTCCGTCCCCACTCGCTCCCTCGATTTCCTTTGCCATAATCATATTAGATTACCAGGATGAGTGGCAGTGATAAAGGAGGAAAGCGCTGTTTGGAGTCTGCGACACAAACTTTCTGAGTGATCATTCTGTAAATATGTTTCCATAGAGCTATGTGGATTGGGGATAGCTAATGAGTTTCCCGTTAAACACGAATATCCTTTGGCTTACTTCCCTAAATCCTTCTCCTCACTACCTACTATGCAGAGCCACTTACGTGTATGGGTTTAACCATGATCCTGTTCCAATACCATCTTCTATGTCTAGAGAATGAATAGACCACGATGACAAGTATTGTATTGAATTAATCAATGGAAAAATACCAGCTATATATTTGATTATATATACCAGCTGTTATCTCAAATGCCTTATCTGTACCTGAATAGGTGATCTGGCACAGAGAAGTCGCATACCCAACAATATCAATCAGCTACAACAAAACAACACCGAGAAAAATGAGCATTGCATATATGAACGAGTCGCCGTATGGATTGATAACGAAGTAATTATAAAAGTACATTCTAATGATATTAGAAAATATTAATCGACGCCTATCCAAATGTTTATTGATATCAAGCTGTTAGACTTGAATAGATTTAGACAGTTTTGATCTAGAATAGTTATTTCCATAGCTTACCATCATTGGTGTCGAAGGATCTGCATTATCTAACGTACGAGAAAGATGATTGTGTTTGATATTTAAAAAGGTATGCACATATTACGTACGAAGCAAATTATCAGTCATGCATGAAGTCAACTTAAGGATGCATGTTCATGA